AGCAGGGGCTACCATCCCTGCAGTTTTCACCCTGCTGCACCTTAACACACAGTGTGTCACCCCATGTCACAAGTTTTGCTTGTCTGCAGCTTGAGGTGCAGTTCCTCTCAAACCCCTGCACCAATCTTCTTGAAACTTGGCAGGATTTGAGGCCTCATGAGGGGTACCACCCCTGCAGTTTTGACCCCCCTGTGTTGTAACACATAGACGTGACATGAGTTTTGCTCTCAAGAATTTGGGGTACAGTTCTCCCCAAACCCCTGCACCGATCTTCCTGAAACTTGGCAGGCTTTGTTGCTTCACCAGGGGCTATCACTCCTTCAGTTTTCACCCTCCTGTGGTGTAACACACAGATATGACATGAATTTTGCTTTCAATAATTTGGGGTACATTTTCCCCCAAGCCCCTGTGCCAATCTTCTTGAGACTTGGCAGACTTCATGCTGCCCACAGAGGCTACAATCCATGCCAGTTCTGTCCAAATCAGACAAAAAACAACAAAGTTATAGATATTTCATTGATTCCCCATTATACCCTATGGCTGGATCTCCAAGGCCGAATTGAAGCACAGACCCGGTCCGGACCTCTGGATCGGATCCCTGGCATCCAAAGTGGCTCGATCTGAAGCCAGATTGGATCACTGCTGACTTGCACAGGCCTTGCGCACAGGGACGGTGCATGGAGACCCGGCCCTGGGAGTGGTGTGAGAATGCTCGGGCCCATCACAGCACGGTGCATGGTTTGGTGCACAGAGCCCAGGTTTTGGAAGGCACAACTTCGGCAGGGCCAGCGACTCACACAGTGCATGGGGCAAGGGCCTTGGAGCTGCAGTGAGGCAGCTCAGGCCCTCTCTCACAGCAAGCGCCCAGGTCCCATGGTGCGCAGGGTGGCTCATGGGCCTAAGTCTTGGGAGCCAGGGAGCAGCAGAGGCTGCCTGGGCTAGCCACCTGGCATGAAGACAGACGGCTGGAGCCTGAAGGGCACAACCTGTGCTAAAAGAGCCTTCAGTGCTGAGCCAGGGCACGGGGAAATAGTAGTGCTGCAGCATAAGGCCCAGCATCCAGGAGCCAGCAGCACTGGTGCAGCAGCTGAGAGGAGCCCCCCACCTAGTCAAGGCCTTAAAGGGAGGGGCCCCTGGTGCTTCCTGGACACCCCCCAAGGGACCCCATTGGAAGGAGGATTATCTCTTGCCATGGGTCAGGAACTATATTAAGTAATAGGTGTTATTAAGATTGTTCCTGTCTGCACCTAATATTTTGTAATTGAAATGTTGTATTGTGATGTTGTATTGTGTTGATGCTACTGAAATTGTTTTATTGTGATGGGTAAATAGTGTTATTTAGGGTTTGATCTTGGTTATTGGTTAATATTAACTGTGTAAATATATGTATATGATATTTAGTTTTATGATTATGTATATTATAACTCAATAAATTGTATATATTTAAGAACGTTGTGCTTGGGCTAACTCTATAGAAATTCTGGCATCCCTCTCACAGCACCCCCTCCTGCCTACACATCCCATCCAATTGAGAATAGGGCACACCCCTGGGTATAACCGGGTTACATAGTAGCTGCTCCTATTTGTGAATACTTCAGCCTTCTCTGCATCATCAGTAACTAGTTTGCTTTCTGTATTCCATAAGGGGACCCACGGTTTCTTTAGTCTTCCTCTGTCTCTTGACATACCTGTAGAATCCCTTTTTCTTGCCTTTTATGTCCTTTACCAGTCACATCTCAAGTTGTGCCTTGGCCTTCTTAATTTTGTCCATATACACTCATGTAATACCCTTATATGCTTCTCTAGGTAATATGCTTCCCTTGGTAATATGACTGAGTTTCTACTTTTTATAGGATTCCTTTTTCAGTTTCAGCTTATTGAAGAGATTGCTGTCACTAGCCAGGCTGGCCTCCTGTTGCACTTCCAATTCTTCCAACATATCAGGATAGCTTCTTCCTGCACCCTTAATATGACCTCCTTAAAGAACAGTCAGTTCTCCTGAACTCCTTTGCCCTTTAGACTTGTCTCATAGGGGATCCTGCCTACCAGTTCCCTGAGTTTGTTGAAGTCTGTTTTTTTTAAATCCAAAGACTTTATTCTTCTGCTCTCCTTCCTTCCTCCCCTTAGGATCTTGAACTCTCTCATTTCATAGTCACTGCAACCCAGGTTACCTTCAGCTTCACATTCTCAACAAAGCTCTCCCTGTTTGTGAGCAGCAAGTCAAGAAAAACTTCTCCTCCAGTTGGTTTCTCCATCTCTGTACCAAAATGTTATCCCCAACACCAGGACTGGATTGACCCTTTAGTGGGCCCTAGGCAAACAAACTCGTGGGCCCTGGGCCAGTTGAGACCACCCTACCCACCCTGGCACTGCCACCCACAGCTGTGGTGGCGAGGCTGGTGGAGGGGAGGGGAGAGAGGGGAAGGGAAAGGAGGTGGACGGGGCAATTTGTGCCGCCACCACAGAGGGAAGGACCATCCCCAACCCATGCAATTCGGAGCCCTAGGCATGTGCCTAGTTTGCCTATGCATTAATCCAGCCCTGCCCAATACACTCCCAAGAATTTGCTGGACTGTCTGTGCACTGCAGCATTTCCCTCCCTACAAATGTCATGGTAATTAAAGTCCCCCATGAGAACCAGGTTCTGCAATTTGGAAGCTTCTGTTGTTCGTTTAAAGAAGGCCTCATCCAATCTTCCTCCTGCATTGCTGGCCAGTAGCTGGCACTTACCATGACATCCCCCCTGCTGCTCTCTCCTTTACTCAGAGGCTTTCAATAGGCCTACCTTCCAGTTCTGTTTCAGTACAGTCGTAGTTAAACTCAGGCGGGGTTCTCTCAGACATGTCCAGCACATTGTATTCCCAGTTGCTGAGCAATCGGTGTAGTAGGAAATTAGAAAACTGAGAGTCTGGGAGCTCTGAGTTCTCTGTCAATAAGGTCCCAGCCTTCTGGCTCCTCAGAGGCCTCAGTTCTCAAGGCTTGCAGGATCAAAGGCTCCGGGAGAGACCGCCAGCCCAACTGCTCTAGGTCTGTGTTCCATTCTTTTAAACATAAAATCACATTTCAAACTATCAACATTTCTGCAAAACAGAAGGATGTTTGTCTACCCCCCTCTAAACAGCAGCTTTGGGTACTCTGAAAAAAATCAGACCCAAAGCTTTTATTGATGTTACTCCTTCAAAAACGTTATCAGTATTTGTACCAAGTCTCTAACACACTTAGTGAAATAAAATATAACCATCCCTGGTATCAGTACAATGGAGTAACTCTAGAAATGGTACTTTTACAAAGATGTACTGCACACAATGAATAAATGTAAAAATATGTTTTATTCAATTGTATCTGTTCTTAAATTAACAAGTTAACAAAATAACGATTTTCAACTTCCATCAGAGTCTTAAATAATATATCAGTGCAATGTTTTGCATATTCACCTGAGATAACATACTGCTATACCACTGAGACAGAGTTGTCTCCAGGGGTAGCTGTGAAGTAGCCTTATCCTTAATGACTACCAAATATAATAAATAGCACTAGTCAGTCCTCAAGGCCCCAGTTCAGAAAAGCAGTTCACTACATGCTTAACACTAAGCATGTTCATAAACCACATTGGCTTTAGTATGTAGTTAAAACTAAGCAGATTACAAAGTGCATTCTTGAACAGAAGTGCTTTTTTGAATTGGGCTCCTTTGTCTATACCAAATAAATACATGATTAGCCAAAATCTTAAATATAGCTGCCAAAATAGCACCGAGCAGCTATTTAGAAAGTAGTGGCCCACAGAGTATGTTTACATGCAGTTCACAGGGAATATCAGGTAAATATTGCATAGCTCTGTATTATCCAGTGAATAAACTTACAAAAGATAATCATAAATCTAATACCTAATATTGGGTGCCCATACATGTGCTTGGGAGTGGACAGAGGGCAATTTAATTAGAGCAGTTCCTGGAGAGCTTCTCTCATTAAAATGTTGCAGCATCACATGTATTAATCCCCCCTCATGTTTACAAATGGCCACAGGATGCTATAACTAAAGCTTATTCAATGAGCCTTAGTTAAAGCACCCCAGCGGCCATTTTTAAACCCACAGGGGCTTATAGATGTGATGCTGCAGCAATGCTAGAGCATTCTAATTCAAACGCACAACAGACTTGATTAATCTAATCTCTAATTAGATCATGCAGAGCAAGTGTATAGCACCCAATCATTTCTTATATAGTAGTAAAAATCATAAATATGTCGGTGTTTCTTGGATTTCATTATAAATAATGGTTGATAGCAATAGTTAAATATTAATAAATAGATTTATATAACATCTAAATAATAACAATAATAATAGACAAAACTTAGTCATTAACATTTACATCCCCTTGAATTTTGCCTCCTTCTTCTTTCTGAACGAGCAGTTGGGGAGTCCAGTTTTTGTAAGAGGGGGGAAAGTTCATTAATAGCCTTGCGCTGGATTTTCAAATCACTCATCTGTTTCAATTAAAAAAAAACAAAAACAGGTCAGGAAAAACAATACTGTAAACTAATTTTCAGGCTCCATGGTCTATGGTGTTCTAAGGTTATTCCATTGTAAAGCAAAGTAAAACTTTATGAAGAAAAGAAATAGTCTGCTATTCTGTCACTCTCTTCCCATAAAGAGAAGCAATCTTTCCATGAATTTTGTTTCTCAGGTTCCAAGTTATTTTATGACATGCTACAAATCAACGGTATTCTGTGCAATAGAGCTGCTGTGTAACGTATGATATGTTTGTGATAATTTCTCAGTTATACAATACTGAAAGAGAATAGCCTGATGCAACTGATGATAATTGAGTTCATCTGCTCTTAACAGTACATCTGTGGTGTCATTTCAGAGGTTGTTTCTTAAGCCTTCCTGAGATTTGACCATAAACTACCTACAATTTCCACAACCCAGTGGAAGACACAAATAACTGACAAATAGCCTGAACTAAGGTTAAAACTACTAATCTGAATGGCTTTTTATTTTCATTAATTAATTTTTAGATTGTTAAAATGGATCAGTTGGGCTATTTTATGAGCACATCCTTAAATATTTTAAAAACACAAACACAAAAATGTAATTAAAGCATATAATTAATTGACCTTTCCCTCTGTCATCCCACTCAAGCAAGAACCTTAGCCGGTAGGCTTCGAGTAAATCTGTGGTGTTTTTGTTGCATAAGAAAAGGGAATGAATGCCAAAGGGAGAGCGCCTTCTAGTGAAACATTTTGCCCTTCATGAAGAAAAGGGGTGGAGTTAATGGGAGAAAAAGTCCTATGCTTACCGGAAGTTTTGCCAACTCCATTATGTCATTTATCTTTTTGTAATCATTAGCAAGATTGCTTTTCTTGGCAAGCAGATACTCGTGTACATTTCTGACATGGGCTTTACTCGTGTCGATGTTCTCAAACATTTTCAGATACAAGGAAATAATGTGGCTAAATAAGATTCTTCTTTCATTTACCTGTTAGGAAAAGAAAAAGGAAATGGGTTCATGAACTTCCATCAAAAGAGAACTGCTGAAAACCAAAATGCAAGCCACTAGCTTTGGGAGACAGATCACTCCAGGTATTCGTATGCTCTCCTTCTAAAGCATCCACTAGCACTGCTCTTGGAGAAAGATCTGTTTGTTATGTAGGCATGATGGGATTAGGCCCACCAGGAAACTACAAACCCTTCTCATTGTTTAGAGGCATGTCAGTGGACTAGATGTACCATTGGTTTAATTTAATATGGCTGTGTTTATGTTCTTATGTCAAAGAGCACTCAGTGCAACCCAACACAGGGTAATAAACAGGATGGATTCAGCTTTCGTTCCGAGTTGGCTGTGCCTTGAGCTGAGCTCATGATGTAAGCAAAAGTATCCTGAGAGCTGCTATAAATTGTATCAGCTGGCCATTACACTGGTATAGCCATGCCCTCTGCACTGACAGAAAGGTTGACAGAACAGTGGATGAATCAGTGTGTCAGTTCTAAGCTACTGAATCATTTATAGAGGGGTGATTTTTCTTGTGGCTAGTTACTTCGTGTTGGGAGCTGCATTGTATCACTAGAGCAATGCAAAGTAGCTGCACCATTGCACCAGATGTAATCCTAAGAATATAAACTTACTTCTGTCCAGCTTTTCAACTTTTCTGTAAAAATGGGTCCACCATCAGCTACATCTGAATTGCTTGAATTCTGCAACAGAGAATAAAAAGGTGCATAAGATCAAATGAAAAGTGAACAGCACTTGCCACTGAAAAGAGCAGGCACAGGCAATGTAACACATGCATTAAGGATTTTCAGGTGGGATTTTTTTAAATCTTTGAGCAAGTCTGTAACATAACATTCAAAAAAGTGTTAAGTCCCACTGGCTAATCTGTTACTTGTACCATAAAAATTTTTAGCCTATTTTACCACGGTTTACAAAACCAGTTGTTCCAGGCTTACTGTACAGGCACCCAAAGGTATTTTGCACTAGAGAGGGGTTTAGAAGATGTAAGTTTACATAACCAGTTGTTCCAGGTCTACTGTATCTCAATCATAATAACATACAGAGCTTTAAAACATTGTTCTAGATTTTATAGAAATATAAATATTTTATCCAGTCTGTTAGAATACAATTCATGCAATGCAGAGTAAATAGTCCCTTGTGTGTCTTGTATGTTCAATAACATTATTACTATAAAAGAAGTGGGATAATGTATAGACTTACACATACATTCCAAGTACCTGGCTAAACCAGGCACTACTACCAATTTTGAGAGGCACTAAGCACTTGAAACAAACTTGAATTTTATGTTCCTTGGGAAGGATAAAAGTCCACTCCTTCTTAAGATGTGACTCTACAAAGCCACACTTAAAGTAATAAGAATCTAGCTAGCAAATGATAACAATCAGTTTTACATAAAAAACATTACTGCAATTAATCTCCAAGCACTTTGCTAATGTTACATATGCCTCACAACATTCTTCTGAGGGTATTACAGGAACTGTTGTATCCATTCTACAGATACATAAACAGAGAAAGTTAGGAACAGAGGTGGAAACAGTGATAGTGTCCCCCAGGCTCATGGGATCCTGCATCTCTCCAGCATATGAAAGTGAACTAAAAATGTTCTAAGGTGAAATACTGAGAATTAAAGCTCTTATTCTATGAGAAATCCCAGCTCAAGTCAGTGAATAATCTGATTGGGTTTTCAGTGATCATAAAAGCCAATTAACACTGGTTACATGGTCTCTGTGATAAGAGGTAATATTACAGAATTGAAGATCCCACAACAATCATGATCTCTGCCTATGAAACAATGATTAAAGTAGAAATATTTCAAAGTTGCGCCAGAATAGGCACTAGCAGTTCCTTCTCTGAGGAACCTAACAGAGGAAAAACCATCATATGTCTTTGCTGAAGCCAAAGGAACTCTCTTTCTCTCAGTTGCTTTCAGTTACTCCTGTTTATATCACTAATTACTATTAGGTCCTCTAATTATGACAAATATCAATATAAAACTAATGATAATTCAAAACATTATAACTTAACTATTGTAAGATTTTTTTTTCTCTATAGATTGTTCCATCGAGCTCATTGCTGATGGGAAGTTAGGAAACTGCTGAGAGAGATGCAAAATACTGCATTACCTTAATCTCTTCAGTTAGAGGACCTTAGTTGTGTGACTAGTATAAGCCAAAGAAATGATCTAGCCTCTTAACTTTAATTAATGTAAAGACTAAATAACTGGAAAATAAACCCTAATTTTACTCTATGTTGTTAAAGTACTATATTACATTACTTGTCATAAACCCAGCTCTTTCAGTCATATTCAAAAGCATAAGCAGAAGAGAAAGAAGAATACATTATTAGAAAGTTATACTTACAAAGTCAATTTTCAGTTTGTCTATGTCGCTCTGTACCTGGAAAGGTATTATGGTACTGTCCAAGCATCCAAGACAAGACAGGTGAACAGAGAGAAAGATGAAGAGGTAAGTTTGAGAACTCATTTCTCTGGAGACACTGAAGTAGAAAAGTTGAAACGATTCTTGGATATGTTATGAGACCTAAAAGCAATAAGCTAACTTTCTGTCGGCTCTTCTTTTGGAAGAAAGCAGATTAGTGAACTTCACCTGCCTTGCTCGTAGTATTTATACCTGGCTGCTGACTATTTTTAACGCGTCATCAGAAGAATTACATCTTTTTTCACAAGTTTCTGACAAGATGGTGTTAGATAGGAGGTGATACTTAATGGTTTATTATTAGGTATGGTTTGTGGGATTGCAGCACTTACAAAGTTTCCTTTAAGTAACCAGTCTCCAGTATGAAAGCAGACAGCACTCAGTTACATGTCCAGCCCTACCTGGGATCCCTCGAAAGCATTTTCACTTGACAGCAGTATGGCACCAGAAATTTCCCTCATGCTTCATCAGCTTATTTAAAGGTAGAGTTTAGGTGGCATGATACTGTTTAAATGATGTGTTTGTGGTTGGGAACAAGCAGGAAGGGAAATTCTGGCACTTAGTCTTACAAAGTGTATGCGCTCAGTTGTAATATTCTTGCAAACCATCTTGCAAACCATAAAAGTAAAGAAATCACATAACGTGGTTATGGGGTCAGTTTGACAGCTAAGATGCTTGTGGTCTTCTTGTAAAAGAGGCTATTTTGATTAACAATGGACTCTTCAAAACTACTTCACAAGTTTTAGATTATAGCTTAACGTTGCACATTGTGAAACAGAAATAGTCCTCTCTTTAAAACATGTTGCCATGCATGCTATTTTCTTATCCTTCACCTCCAAATTCAGTTTAGACTCAATAATCCTAACAAACATAAGACTTCTGATACCAATACAATTGTGTCTTTTTTAACTCTGGGTGCCAACAGAAGTGCAGCTCACCACTGTAACTCATGGTTACTCTGAGAAGGGGGGGCTTCAATCCACCTGCCGCACCCTCCAGCACTGGCTGGGCAACCCCCAGGATAAGCTCCCTCCCCTCCCCTCCCCCCC